TAAATAAATAAATGTTACATAATGTATTTTATGTTATGTCAATTAAATAATCATAATATCTATTACCTATCCTTCATCGTAATGTTTAGTACCAAGTAAGCAACTCGTTAAAATTTTGTTTTAGATACGTCAAATGTTTATTATTTGCCTAATAATTTAAAGTAAAAAGACCGTTACACATTATTTGATAAACACAAGTTTGTATATGCATAAAACACTCCTTGAGCTGTACAAAAAATCTCAAATATTTGAAAATATGGTCTTTAAGTATACCTATTTGAAAATTCCGGAATTCCGTAAATCAGATTAACTGCATTATTACAGAAAGAAGGGGGCCTGAACACGCTTGGGGAATCTTCCTGTGTAATCCTATAATTTTTTACGAACTCCCTTTGACCATCCTCTTTTTATATTTTACAACTATGTAGCACTACTATTAATTAAATCGGCCATCTCGGATTCTTAAGCAACTAACACGAAATCGTTTTAAATTGTTTTAATCTGAGCTAAGACAAAAAAAAAAATTAAAAACTATTATCGTTTACAAAAAAATCTCTGATAAAAATTATCATCGACAAACAACGGAGGTCATGATATTATGAAAACTATCGGCAAATGGATAAAATACTGTGATCGGGGAGTATATAAAATCATATATATTTGGACCTATTACAATAGTAATGTGATAAGAAATATGAAAACACTTAAATTCTTTATGACGCTAAATGTCAAGATATTTAATATCGAGAAATACAGAAATCAATCTTCCCATTACGTATTGTTTTCCCATTAAATTTGTGATGTTGAAATGTAGTCAAATTCGAAGATATAATAAAATATAAAATCGTTATTCTTGGTTATTTAATACGTAATTTCCTCCAAATTCAAACGTAAAATAACTATAAAAAAACTGCGTTTTTATATTTTTGAGATTTGTTGGTTACAGGGTAGCCTACTTACGTGGAACCTTATTGTAAGTTTTCAATTCTTAGCTATAAAGTTGAAAATTTTATATATTCAAATTTGAAATTTGAAAAATTTTGTGAAAAATCGGACTTTAAATTAGAGACGTAAACTCGGGAAATTTTTACCCCCTTAAATTTACCGGTAAATTTACAGATTATTTTTTTACAGGTAAATTTTTTCTTACCGAAAAAAATAGCATGGACACCTGAAATTAAATGGCTCCACGGTGCCAATATTCATCAGTAATAACATATTAATATAATGGAATAGTTTTTATTATAAAATGTAAAACGCCCACAACCACTGATGTGTAGTAGGTACCTATACTTCATAACATTAAACATACGAATACAACATCTGATACGATAAATTATGATCTCAATTAATATAAATTTGATTTTATCACAGATATAGATAAAGATAATTAACCACGTTATAAAGAAGTTACAGCGGTTACACCACTTATACCAGTTGTACCTCATCAGTCATTACTACGATTATAAAGTTCTTAATTACTATCAACCTAATCATTTAAAACTTATTGAACATCTTCACGTTCGCTCACCTAGTAAACTTTTTTTTTAATTCGTGTCAGTTCATTATTATTTATTTGTACCTATAAAATATTAAAACGAAACTACAAGATATAAAAAAAAATATAACATCGAGGTTGAAAACAAGAGGTATCAATGTATGTTCTGTGAAAGCACATACAAAGAGAATGTAACAAGAATGGTGTTACATTTTTCATCATGTAAAAAAGTTCCTTCATCCATTAGGAAGACACCGAAGGCAACACTAAAAGAATTCGGTTACGGTAAGCAGTGGCGTAGAAAGACTCGTTAGCGCCCCTGGCAAACCTAGGAAAATGCACCTTTTTAGCGATTAAAAAATTGACGAAAATACGGAATGATATTTTTTAACATTTATTTTTTATATATATAATTAGGTAATACAATATGTCAATATTATTTAACTATCAGTTATTATGATAATGTAAATTTCAAACTTTAAAAATTTTCTTTTCTTGCTTTAAGGCTAGAGAATTCATTGATGATTTCGTCATATGAAATTTGTTTAGCAAATTCATGTTCTATGGATAAAATTGCCATGCTTGTTAGTCTCTCTTGTCCAATAGTAAGTTGATCTTAAATAATTTTTAATATAATATTAATATATTTATACTTATTTTTAATATTTTTATAATAAGATTATTGATATATAGACGACAAATAATATAATAATATACTTTATAGACGGGCCACGGGCGATCCGATAACGATAAGCTCGATGTTCAGTGTTCACAAACACATACACGAAACACGAATTTAAAGATAAACAAGATAAACAAAACCATACACATTTCAAAATCTATAGCCGTATTATAAGTAATAAAGAAATGTCGTTTTGAAGGTAGAATAAAAATAAGTACCAATTTAAAAGCACAAATTTGCGCTCCTTCATAATTTGCACCCCTGGCGTAGGCACAGTTCGCCATACCCTTGCTACGCCACTGACGGTAAGTAACTAAACTAAGCTACATATTAAACTATTAATTATTAACTAAAGTATAAGAATTACATTTGTACACATACATAAAAATCTTTTATCTTATAAAGTACAATATAAAACATTAAAACCATTTATACCTATATTATGTAATTACATTGAAGTATTTTATTATTTTAGACACTTATTTTTTGCATCACGAGAATGATCAAAAACGACTACAACAAAATTCAAGTTCTACGAATATTGTATGTGATAGGTATTAAACATATCCAGGACTAAAGTTCTAATTTTAAACAAGGAAGTATAATGTCATTTATGGATGGAATGAATTCAAACGAACAAGTAAAATTGTTATTACTTATTACTTAAGATGGTATTGATTAGGTATTTGTTACTTTACTTAATTATATAAATCATGGAGATAAAAATATAGGGAAAAAATGAAAATTTATGCATATAAAAATTTGAAATGGACTAAATCTGTATTATACATATACATATTTCATATACACAGAAGCATAAGTACACCTATTCAATATTATTTTCATTTTTTAATTATTTTCAATTTTGCATGCTTAATAATAACACAATTTATAAAATCCAAAACTCTTATTTTAATAATTATATCTACGATTCATTATTAATTATTATTAAACAGGTATATTTTTATTTTTTATATATTATACCTCATAATTTTTGTTCATTTTTATAAATTGTTATACTATTAAATATGCTTAATACTTTTAAAATCAACAATGTAATTAACATTGTTGGTTTAAAAAGGAAACAAATAATATTGTATGATATTGTATAATATTATTCAGTATTGTAGGATAACAACCTATTGTATGTATTATTAATTAGACCTAGACATGTGAAAGACTTACTATATTATAACAGGACAAACATTCATTACAAATGTTACCCTCTGTATAATTTAGAAAAACATTTTTTTTTTAACATTGCAAATAATTTTTTTAAATATATTAACTTATAACTGAACAGGATAATTTATGGAAACTTCTGGCCACAGCTATTTATTCCACAGCAACTCCATTTTCCATTGTTGAAAATGATTATTGGGTTAAATTTTTCAAAGCTTTAAGACCAAGTTTCATTCCTCCATAAAGACATCTTATGGCCAACAAACTTCTCGATGACGAATATAAACAAATGACAATTAAAGTACATAAAAAAGTTAATGAAGCTTTTGTGTATGGAATACAGATGGACGGTTGGAGTAATACCAGGTATAGTGGTTTTTAAATAAATATGTGTACCTATATTGTATCTAATTATATTTTATTATTTATTTTAGAAATGAACCTATTATAAATATAATCATTACCACACCAGAACCAGTTGTTTACAAATCTTTAAGTACTACTGTCTACTACACAGTACACACAGCTGAGTATGTAGCCAATGAATTAAATTTAGTCATTGACGTTATTGGAAAGTCTCGTTGCTTCTAATAACGCAGCTTCTATGAAAAAAGCTTGGACTATTTTAAAAAATGATCCACGTTATAAAGACTTGCCTATAGCATATTATTCATGTATATGTCATACATTAAACTTACTTGTTCACGATATATTAAAAATATAAGTTCACTGGAAGAAATGGCAAAAACCATAGTAGGTAAAGATAATTAATAACAATCGTATTCTAAAATCTACATTTGTTATACTTCAAAAGTCAAAAAAAGATGTATTTACTTCATTAAAAATGTCTGTAAAAACTCGTTGGGGTTCAGTTAGTTTATTGCATAGAAAGCCTTATCCAAAAATAAGTGGTTTTTCAGCAATCAGCAATTTTAAATAGGTACTTATAAAAAAAAAAGTACCAATGTATTTTTAATATTTTTCAACTGCTATTTAAGCAATATATAGGGTTCCTTTATTACATTTTGAGGTTTTTTAGCCCAACAAATAAAATGTTATTGATAATTGTAGCGAAAAAACTAAAAAAATTGAAATTTGAAATTATCCTTAAACAGCTCAAAATAAGTCAAAATATGTTAATAATTTTATAGGAATTGATAAAATAAACATATGATATACATCTCAAGTATCTACAGCTATTCGTTTTTGAATTACAACAAAATAAGCAAATCGTTACATGAGAAATCGAATGACTATCCAATGGCGTGAAACTTTAAACTTCAAACGATCATAAAAGTTTAATTTGACTTTTTATAGACATTTTTTTTTTTTGTTGATAAAGGTAGATACGCTCATAAGGAATCTTGTGTTACATTTTAAAATCTTAGATTTAAAAAGAAAAATTTTTATGACTTTCTAACTCAAAATAATTTACTCATTTTCGTTATTTTTACGTATTTTGTCAAGATTTGAAATTTAAATGCTTATAAAAAAAAAATTGTGATTATGGATTTTATGTTATTCAAATATTGTTGTAACAGTATATTAGGAGCCTTGTATTCAATTTTTAAACTTATTTACCAAACAAATAAATATGATATTAAACATTTGGTATATGTATCAGAATCAGTTAAGAAAATGCTCGAAAATGTTAACAATATCTGCTCAGAACTGGATGTGACAAAACACTCTAATTTAACTGCTGTATCTGTATTAAATAATGAAAACCTCCCTATATCTAACGAAGCAACTATAAACAATTTTGAAATGTCACTCGAATCTTCTGCTTATATAGATAAAGTTGTAAGTATCAACATTTAGATATCAATTTAACATATTACTTAATTTCAAAATTGTATGTCATTTGCTTATCTTTTAGGTTTCAAAATTATCACTTTCAGTAGGAAAAACTATTCCTGAAACCATAAGACGCATGATGCAAAAACTATTTGTCGATGATTGGTTACGCAATTACTCCTATATTGGATTTAAAGGTAAAAACAAATTTTCTTCTTTGCACTCGTGTAAAATATTATTTGGTGTGAGTTGATAATTTTTTACTTTTTGATTGTACTATTTATTTATATCCATGTTTAACTATTTATGTTATTAGAAGCTGTTTGAAGCTGTTCAAAGTTTGAAAAAGTTCCTGATATGGAAATAGCACTTACAATAAGCAAGTGGATGGCTCAAGCCACTAATCGCATTACTAAAAAAACTAAAGAAAAATTGTAAATAACATTAAAGTGTACTGTTTTAACATGAAAAAGAAAACATTAAAATAAATAAAAAGATTTGTATGGCATTTTAAAGTTACTCTTTGAAATATGATTGATTTGGATTTTAAATTATTGAGTAAAAATGTCCTCGCTAAGACAGAATCGCTTAGGCCCGTCCAATTTTTCCGTCTGAACGGAGTTTCTGACACGTACAATACCCCGGCACCCACCCCCATTTCGACTTTCAAAATTTTTTTTGCGCCAATAATTAGTACTCAATTCCTGCTGATTCCTGACCACGTTTTCATAATTCCTGCTCTAACAGTTTTCCCGGAAAATCAAATTTTGTACTAGTGGGGCTGGGGTAACGGTACGTGTTTCTGACTTGATAGAGGGCTCACATTCTTTATTTATTTGAATCGCGACTAAAGAAATTATTCTATTTATCGTGTTCCAATCTTACAGAAGTTCTGTCTTACCATAGTTTTACTGAATACGAATTGATTGTGGATATAGAAATTAAAATGGTTGTTGATCAATGATCAGTAAAAAAAATAATCTTAAAACCTGAACTTAAATTGGATTGTGTCCAAATACTTAATAATTAACTATAATGTGAACAATATTTGGATTTTATTAATAACTTCATAACTTAAAATTAATTTAAGGTGAACTGAGTTCCATTATGAGGTGAATAAACTGATATATTAATACATTAATTAGTGTACCATGGTTTGTAAGATTAAGGCATATAAATAAAATGGAATATAGTTTAATATAGTAGTAACTGTAGTAGGTACTTAATTATATAGCTACAAGCATCAAATAATGAATTGTCTCATTAATATTTGAGTACATTTAGAAAAAATATGCTAACAACACTAATCAATTATTATTGTAAAAATATGATTATTTACATGTTTCTGAAATATATTACCTACTTAACTATATCCTAGAAATATGTGGTACCACTTATTGTTAAAATATCTACAAAAACATAATTCCACAATATGGAATTTTCTGTCACGAGTCGTTGTCACCATATTGCTTCATTATTGACACTTAAATCACATAATTAAAACACAAATTTAAAATATTTTCGTGTTCACAGAAAATATTGATAACATATATTATATGTAAAATATTGTAATGCTGTCTGGGAAGTTTTATTGACATTCATAGAAAAAAAAAGTCGCTCTGCTGTACAGTAGGTTATAAGGTGGTCAATGTATAATGGATGGTATTAAATTTGAATTCAATGATATAATAACATTGTATGAGAATATAACGATTCTGAGCGGAAACGATATGTCAGTCTAGGTATAAGACATATTATATACTTATCTATGGTATTAAAAACAATTGACCTATTATAGTTACCTATAATAAATTAAAAATTAATCATATCACAATATCCATTAGGTACTTATAACGGGTTATACATCAACAACAAACCCTGATACAATTATAGATATTATGTAAAAGTATACTTAGTTATACTAGTAAACAGGCAATGAATAATGACCATGAACATAGTGAGGGAAAAACTCCATATTAAAAAAGGTGGGTAAGTAATGTCGCTCTGCTGTACAGTAGGTTACAAGTGGGTCACTGTATAATGGATGGTAATAAATTTGAATTCAATGATAAAATATCATTGTATAAGAAAAACGATTCTGAGCGAAGAAGGTATGTCAGTCTAGGTTTAAGACATATTATATACATATCTATGGTATTAAAAAAAAATTGACCTATAATAAATTCCAAATTAATCATATCACAATATCCACTAGGTACTTATAACACGTTATACATCAATAACAAACCCTGATACTATCATTGATATATAATATAGTGTACTTTAGAAGTTTCAAGTACCCACGAATAATATTATAAAATCACAACAAAATAACTTAAATAGTTATTCTAGGTTTTTTTTTATATAATTTCGTCCAAATGTGAACTTAAAATGACTAAATTAGAATAAATTGTATTTATGTAATTTTTAGATTTTTTTAGTAACTACGTGCACTTTTGTTTCAAATTTTCAATCTTTAGGTATAAAAATTGAACATTTTATAAATTTTTAACTACAAAATAATTATTCAATTTTAATTTTTGTCAAAATTCGATCTTTAAATGCTTATAAAAAAAAATTGTGAAAAAAATTTTTTATATTTTTCAACTGATTTGTAACAATATATCAGAAGCCTTGTATTTAGTTTTTACACTTTTTTACCCAACAGATAAAACTTTATTGATATTTATAGAAAATAAAATTAAAAAAATTGAAAACTGAAAATGTCCGTAAATAGCTCAAAAAGATTCAAAATATTTTCAAAACTGTATGGTGTATAGGAAATGCTAATATAAACATTCAGTAAAAATTTAATGTATCTACAGTTATTCGTTTTTGAAGTACAACAAAATTAGAAAATCGTTACATGAGATATGGAGTGAATATCAAATATTGTAAAAATATGAATTTCAAATGCACTGTAACGAGCCAACTACTTCAGCTTAAAATAACAAGTGGATGGTAATAATGATATTTATTTGTATTTATTTAAAACGTAAAATAGACCAAGTCCAAAATAATTAACTTATAAAACTGTGGTAAACGAGATGGTGACTTAGTATTTGACTTGGTTTCTGCTCTGCTGGTGCTCGTCTGATGGACACTTGTCCATCGACGCACCTCGTCGGGTATTCCTAATAGCTCCCTCCTATGGCATTTTTGGTATAATAAATGGTACATCGCCGCGTACACCTGAGGTCATTTCTGGCGTCCTCTACGAAATAATGTTAATTACGGATTATATGTTTCCAAAGTCATCTATTTGTACTTTTTATGGCTTTTTCGTCTTTCCTATAATATGGATATTGCGCGCGTATACCTATCACGTGTTCGCACTGTACCATTAATTAGTTCTGTACTCTTATCGGTGTGGCCACCCGGATGTTGATATTATTACTATTACCGGGGTTACGTGCTCCCTGCATCATTTATGTCCATTTATTGAATATAATATATATATTATAATCGTATTTTACATAATACAATATAATATAATATATTATTTAATATATTATTACTATTATTAATATATACGTAGTCACAGCTCGTTACAGCACATCAAAATGTAATTTGAGGTTCTTGCAGACATTTTTTTTTTTTGATAAAGGCAGACAAACTTATGAGGAATGTAATGTTACATTTTCATATCTTAGATTCAAAAAGAAAAAATTTTATGAATTGGTATCGAAATAATTTGCAAATTTTCGTTATTTTTACGTATTTTGTCATATTTGAACTTAAATAAAATGAATGATATAATTGATGATTAAAAAAATGTAGATGATTTATTAAATGCAAATGATATTTTCCATAACAAAAAAAAAAATTTAAATTGTCTTTTGCGCATAGTACTAATTATTGGTATGTATTAACTATTTATTATTATCTGTATTTAAAACCTTTTTTTGATGATGAAAAAAACTAATAATAAAAAAACTATAGTTAAAAATAATAAGATAAAATATAAATATAGGTACTTTGTCCAGCGATAGCACGCGCAGTGGTACAGGGTAGAAAATTGAATCTTCGAACCATCTAAAGGAATTAATAAATTGTGTCATTAACAACTCCAATTAAAATTCGTCAAATAATTTTTTAAGCAAAAGAAACAGTTTCTTAATTTTTGAATTATGCATCAGCAAATATAACCTTAGTAGAATTTTAATGCTGTTTTAAATATAATATAATATTATATAATATGTATATCAGAATATCTAATACTCCATCTATTGTCTTTTAAGTTAATTTCTTCAAGAATATAAAACATTAATCGTTATAATACAGAATACTGTGTATAGTAATAACCGGATTAATTGATATTTTTTAGTGTATAATTTGACTTTAATAGTCCCAATATTATTATAAATAAATTGTAATCAATACATAGGTACACCAGTGCGGGGAGTGTGAATAAAAAAATAATCAATTAGGTAGAGGTAGGTACTCTTGGAATTATTACTTTGAAAAATTAAAACATATTTTTTTGACTTGTATCGTTCACACACTAATATTGACTAAATTATTATGAAGGTAATCTTCACAACACTAAGTTAAAACTCCATATGACCGCAAAAGAAATCAATAAGTACATAGCAATTAAAATAATTCAAAAAGATTTTATTTAAATATAAAATTCATGGCGGCATTTTTTTATTTTAATAAAATTAAAATAATTTGGTTAGTTAGTAACTGGTACTCCAGCAGTTGTCGAGTTATCGATACCACATTCGTTTGTGCCACGTTGAATTTTGAAAAGACCGTTGTCACCCCAACCTGTGTTCCACGAATTGACCATCAACCAGTATGGAACTTCGTCTTCTTCACCCCAACCGATCAATTTAACGGCATGTTCTCCCAAGTATGTGGCATTTTCAGATTTCACGTAAACACCTTTAAAACGTCGAAATTACGATTAGAAATAATACTACGATTATCGAAATACTAGCACAATACACATATTATTATAATATATTAAGTCGTTGATGTTTATCGTTTACCTGACTTGTAATTGGGGAAATCGTCGTACACGTTGAACGATGCTGCAATTGGTCCGTAAGTCATAACGTCCTTTTGGATGCTGCCGTACGTTAGGTAGTAGAAGTCACGTGCTACGATCATAAGTTAATATATTAAACACATATTTTAACACCGCACGTAATACATTGTCAAAATAACTCATACTGTATCTGTGATCTTCGTCGAAATCGAGGTCTTGATTTCCGTAGCACATTCTCGTGCATCTGTGATTTGATTCCATTGGCTTACTTTCGCATGTAGTTTTTCCTTTATCGTCATATTCGCAATTATTTGGGACTCTGTATGGTTCACAACCCTAAAAATTATTTGTACACGGTTAAGCCAAACGTTATATTAATACTCTTCTCCAAACAAGCCATATACCTCTCCAGATTTGTAGTCTCCTCCGGTGACTAAACCGTGTTTCTTAAAACGTTGCCACGCTTTAATCGGATAACCTCCATTGCATCCGGAACCACACGAATGACAACAGAAAGTGATTTCTTCAGCGGATAACAATTCATTGAAATCTGCTTTTGTAGCTACACACAGACGGTCAGCAAAAGCCGAGCTCGTAGCCATTGCCTAAAGAAATTTTTTTTTTCAGAACGATTGTCCAACTCTTGACACGTCATATCTATTTTTATTTCTACACACCCAACTTGATGCACAATTCCCTTGGTCACGGACTCTTCCGATAGTGCGACAACGTCTCCATTTTCTCCTAGCGTCAAATTGTCTTGGAATTCGGCCGAATAAGTTGTCGTAAGCTGCATCGTTGGTTTTGTACAGATGAATATTATTTTTGTTTGGAATTTGTACTCCTTTTGATCCCAGCATTTTCAAGAAATGTTCCTTTGGTGTATTTGGGTGAAAGTTTACACCTGCCTAATATTTGTTAAATGTGCTGATTAGTAGGTATCAAAAATTATCATAAAAATTCAAGAAATAGCAAATATTATATTTTAACGAAATGTACGTAGTACTTATATTGTTCACTTCAATCCGTTATTTTTTATAAAGAATTATTATTTAAAATTAAATAAAAATCATATTTTTGTTAAGATAGTCATAACTTTAGTAATATTTGAGATTGAATATATTTTAAAATATTTTTCTGAATTTTCAATTTCTAAATACGATATAGGTAATTATTATTTTATTCTATTATATAATGAATAATTTTTAACAAGACATTTTTCGAACATAATATAAATAATGAATGACTTACCTTCCATGTTGTAGCTTGTTCATTGATATTCTCAATGAAATCTTTCTGCAAAAAGTATGCTTGTTCCGTCACATAAACGCTGACGAATATCACACATAATAACATTAAAACCCTAGCCATTTTTGAAACTTTTTCGCTTCCAATGAATTATTTAAGAAAATTGAATTAAGTACTCACTGTTGCTGTTTGAACAACAAGAGTAGTATGAGTTTTGATTTCTAATATTTACCATTTATATAGGTATGTCTGAATACTTGAATTTATAAATCGATAATGTTTCGAAAGTATTTTCATAGATATTGAATCATCAATAGAATTATATGGTCAAATAATTTAATTAAAAATAACTTTTCATACACTTATATTCTTATCTAGTTTCATTGAAGCAATTGTACAAAATTAATATAACTTTTAACTAAATTTTTTTTTTTAATATATCAGGAGCCTTATATTACATTTTTACATTTTTTGGAACACAGATAAAACATTATTGATATTTATAGAAAAAAAACTAAAAAAACTGAAAACTTTAAATGTCCGTAAACATTTCAAATATTTTCAATGTGAAATTTTCATGTACCTATCTACAGTTATTCATTTTTGAATTACAACAAAATAAGGAAATCGCTACATGAGAAATCGAGTGAATATGAAATGTTGTAAATATTTGAATTTCAATAGCTCATACAAATTTAATTTGACTTTCTTATAGACATCTTTTTTTGATAAAGGTAGATGGTCTTATAAGGAATCTTGTATTACATTTTAAAATCTTAGATGTTAAAAGAAAATTTTTACGAATACTTAACTCAAAACAATTTGCTAATTTTCGTGATTTTTCCTTATTTTTTCAATTTTTGAAATTTGCTTATAAAAAAAACCTGTGAATAAGGTTTTGTAATATTTTTCATCTGACTTTAAAACAATATTCTAAAAGCCTTCTATTAAATTTTTAAGCGTTTTTACCCAACAAATAAAGTTTAATTGACATTCATAAAAAAAAAACTAATAAAATTGGAAACTGAAAATGTTCCTAAACAGTTCAAAATAAATCAAAATATTTTGAAAATGTTATCATGTATAGAAAATGCAAATATAAACAACCAGTGGAAATTTCATGTATCTACGGTCATTTGTTTTAATGTTACACAAAAAACCGATTTTGCGAAAAAATTCCCGTTTTTCCTTAATTTTTATGTTGTTTTTCCCGGCGCTTGTGAGAACTATTAGGAATTTTAAATTTTGACCCCCAATGCACCAACGATACTCACTTTCCAATCGAACAAGAAACTGTATTTGAAAATTGAAGCATTATTTCGACTACTTATCGTGTGCACAGACACAAATAAAATTAAAAAGCTAAAACACACATCATTGTAAAAATCAATACATTCATCGTTCCACTCAGAATCAAAAATAAATACCTTAACAAAATGAATGATATAATTGAAGATTAAAACAATGTAGACGATTTATTAAATGCAAATGATATAGTCCATAGCAAAAAAAAAAACCGTGTAAGTCGCTCTTCTGTACCTATACAGTAGGATGGGTGAAATTTGAATTCAATGATGTAAAATCATTGTACACGAAAAACAATTCTGATCGTAGACGGTCTATAATAGTATATTTACGATATTATTGTTATTAATGTTTAATTTTTTATTATTAGAGATTAGTAATAAAGTAGGTGAATTGGTTATTGCCAAACAATTACATTTGTATGAATAAAAAATATTAATATACTTTTAAAATGTCAAGTACACACGAACAATATATTTTAACTACCCAAGATAATATACAAATGTTTTATTTTTTATTATTAGACATTAGTAATAGAGTAGGTGAATTGTTTATTGACAAACAGTTACATTTGTATCTGTATGAATAAAAAATATTAATATACTTTAAAAATGTCAAGTACACACGAACAATATATTTAAACTACCCAAAATCATTATTTTTAAATTACAAGAAATAACCAAATTCATTATTCTTCGTTTAAACTTTAAATATATTCTTTAGTCCAAATTTGAACTTAAAATATCTAATAATTATAACATAAAACTGTGTTTATAATATAATATTTTCAAATTTTTTGGTCACAGTATGAGCTATTTATGAGAGACCTTGTTTTAAATTTTCAATCCCCTTGTATAATGACTGAAAATTTAAACATTTTCTACATTTTTCACCTACTAAACAATTTGTATATTTTAAATAATTTAAACATATAAAATATGTTGTCAGAATTTTAACTTTAAATACTTACAAGAAAAAATAGTCATAATGAATCTTTAATTTTTTTCAACTGATTTTATAACAACTTATGAGGATTCTTCTACTTATTACATTTTTACTTATTGTTGGGAAAAAAAGTAGAATACAAAAAATTGATGTAGGTTTCGTTCTTTTATTTTAAACCCATTTCAACAACATAAGAAAACAAAACTTTCTCGGCGAAAAAGCCGACTAGACATGACTGTGCATCAATTGACATTTTTTAAATTGAAGGTTAGTTTTTAAATTTGATAAGTGCAGTGGACTGTATTTTAATTGATTACGTAATGAGATAATGATAACATTCTTGATAAACACTTATCTTTAGGAGGTGCGTGACGCTGGCACCCGCAAGTTTGAAATTCAACTCAAAAATCACATCAGTAATTGTTATACAATTTGTACAAATTTGTAACCACAATTCCAAAATTTGTACACCCCCCGTCGCCCGTAAAATCCAAAAACGATTTATAATCGTAATTAAACCTTTTATTGCATTCCTACTATCTTATGTTTTTTGTTTTAAATTAATGTTCTTGAATGGGGCGCCCGTTAATTGGCCCACATTTTAACTACCTGATTCGAATAAAATATTTGTTTACAATTTACTACCCGGAGATTGGGTCACAAATGAAATCTATATTTTTAAAGTGTACCCGGAGATTTGGCCATAAAAGTATAGCACACAAATATACTATTAATACGAATATATAATAATGTTTATTAACTAATTATTATTGTTTTAACATATAAAGATACAATTCGTCAAATAATTAATATTTTTTTTAAATACTTCCATACAGATTTAACTAATTTAATATACAACAAGGTCCATAAAATTAGTCAAATATGAAATAATTTTTATAAAGAATGCTAATACTCATTTTACAAATATAATATAAGGACCATAAAGTTAGTCAAAAAATAAATAATATGAAAAAAACATTTTCTAATAGGTACATAAAAATATAATACAAGACATTTCGATCTATAAAGTCAGTCCAATAATAAATAATAATAAATAATTTTTATAAATAATGCCAATACTCATTTTACAAATATAAATAAATATATAAATATTATATAAATATAAATAATTTTTTTCTAATATAATAATTATTTTTTTTTTAAATAACATGATACAGATTGTACATATTATTCAAATCGGGTTTTTTCAACTTCTTCATATTTTTTAATTTCATTAAGAATAAAATTTTGTCGAACTAAAGTTCCTTTTCTTGTTTTTATTGTTCCTATACTTTTAATATTAATATAAACTTCTGATTGAAGTTGCAATAAAACATTTAAAAAATTATGTATATTTGAATGTGACATATAGAAATTTATTTTTGAAATGTGAATGAAAAGACTCGACGGCATATTTTGTAGTTCGAGTATGTACCCATGTACGTACCCATTTGTATATTATTTGAAATTGTAAATTAAATTATAAATTTTGGCTGGACATGTTTTCTTGGCACATCGCCAACGAGTTTTGCCACATTGACTCTCATGAGCAAAAGAAAATTTATAATTATTAAAAATTAATAATTTTTTTCCTCTTTCGGACATTAACACTTCCATTGTACCTACTTTATATTACGAACCACGCGTGTACTACTAGATGTCGATCGTATAGTTTGCTAATCAACTAAACGATCACAATTTACAATGTTTCATAATCTTTGCACACTATACGCGTATGACTATTTTTATCCATTTCATTTGATGACAATTGATAATTCTACATCATAAGATATTGGATAATTTATTACCTTTTGATAAGGCATACGCAGTCGCTTCGAGTAAAGTTTCGCGTGCGCTGCAGTATTAGGAATTGTATCAATTTATATAAAAATATGTATACGCGCAACATAGACAAAACGCATTTACGCAGAATAATTTTTTCTATGATTTTAAGTAATCTTAGAGTAAACAAATAGTGCTCTGACATCCTCTTAAATATTATTTTATTATAATTTAAAATGTAATAGTGGCCCAATCACCGGGTCTTCCTATTATAAATATAACATTTTAGTGGCCCAATTACCGGGCCTACCTGTCATAAAATAATATAAAATTTTGGTGGCCCAATTACCGTATACCTATGGAAAAAAATGTGAATTGTGGCCCAATTCCCCGGCACCCATTAAATGTAGGTACTGAATAATATACGTAATTATTATAATTAAATAGGTACCTATAACTTTTACCATCTTTCTTATTTTTATGCAAAAATTATATTTAATATGTAGGTACCTACCTAGGTATATCTTAAATATAACATTTACCTATTTACGTGGAACCCTGTTTTAAATGTTCAATCCTTAGCTATATATAACTATTATAATAGTTGAACATTTTATAAATTTTTAACTACAAAATAATTATTAAATTTTGTCAAAATTTGAACTTTAAATGATTATAAAAAAAAATTGTGCTCATGTATTTTTAAACTGCTATTGTAACAATATATCAGGAGCCTTGCATTAAATGTTCACGCTTTTTTACCCAACAAATACAATTTTATTGATATTTATAGAAAAAAAAAGTAAACAGCCCGAAAAGAGTCAAAATATTTTCAACATTTTATGCTGTATAGAAAATGAAAATATAAACATTCAGTAAAATTGTCATATTGTATCTACAGTTATTCGTTTTTGAATAACAATAACATAACAAAATCGCTACATGAGAAATCGAGTGAATATCAAATATTGTAAAAATATTCAATTTTCAAGCTTTATACCTAACAAATAAAGTTTTATTGACATTCATAGAAAAAAAGACTAATACAATTGGAAACAGAAAATGTTCCTAAACAGTTCAAAACAAATCAA